AACTCATTTGATTTATAAGTAACAGCATTTGGAACCCCTGAAAAAGGATATGTCCTCTGACTGTTACTTTAAAGTCCTAAAAGGCTTTATAGCAATTCTTTTTCAGATAAAATATCTGATAGTGCTAAGTTAATTAAGGTAGTAATATTTTCATTAATATAACAAAGTCGGGAGGTGCTCATATAGTAATTACTCTAATATTTAAACTGTAAGTTAATAAAATGTGCCAACCACTAAGTGGTCACCTTAATATTAAAAAAAAATTTAGTTAGTATATAAAGTTAGAATTAATTAAAAAAATCTTGAAAATTATAAGATTTTGTAAATTTTATTAATAAAATTCTATAAAATCTTATGATTCTCAAAAATTTACTAATTAATTCTAACTTTATGCATTAAGTAAATTTGTTTAGCACTAAAAAATATATATAAATATATTTAAACTCAAACCAGTTTGCAAATTTTGAACCAAACTCAGACCAAACTCACAATTAAGTCTAAGTTTAGTTTGAAGTTTAAAATTAGTAAAATTTAAAATCTGAGTCTGGTCTGATCTTAGACCAGACTCAAACTAGACCAGACTCAGACCAGATTTAGAAGCACTAGCTTGATGATTAATTAATTAGTTGTTTTAAAATTTTTTAAATCAATTAATTAAAAAGTTGTCAATTAGTTGAGTTTTCAACTAACAATTTGAATCACTAATTTAAGTATCTCATATTTTCTGCAACCTATATACCAAGAATTTCAAATTTATTTTTGGCAGGTTTGTAGTTTCTATAAACATAACACAATCTATTATTCATTTCATTTTACACTATAATTTTACTCTATTATTATTTTTTTTATACTTAGTATATATTAAATATAAGCACTCACTATATATAAGTTTATATATATTTTTGCAACGCATTTTTAAAACATTATATCAGGTTGTTTATCTCTTTCTCACTTACTAAACTTTGCTTTTTAACACTAACCAAAAAATATAAATTAATTAATTCTAGCTTATCTAATTTAAGTAAAGTTTATCAAACTTATCTGCTAAGAAAAATATATTTTTTAATTGAAAGCTTGTTTACACAATATGAATAAAAGAAACTATTACATCAGTTACATAAGTTTTCTTATTCTAAACATTTGCAAACTCAGCATCAAAAACCTTTCAAATATTCTTTAAAAACTAAAAATATTTTCTGCAACATTTGCTAAAGTTATTTCATCTTCTTTTTAAGAATTATTATAAAAAAGCTTTGTAATAAATCTTCCAAATCATTATTATAAAAACTTTCTACAAAATTAGTGCATATATTTCAGATATTTTTACTTGCATTTGATTAAATAGCTTCATAAAAGAATTTTTTGATGTCTCATCCAGGTTTTGAACTAAATTAGACTTGTCACTTGTCATCTGACTAGCAAGTAGCTCATACCATTTCAAATCTTTTGCTGATAAACTATTTAACCTTTTAAATAATTCTAGAGCGTGATCAGAAAAACTTCACTAAAAAATGATTGAAATGTGACTTTCTTCATAAATATTCAGCACAAGATAACTCAGTAGCATAATTAGTGTATCATACTTACTGAAAGTTTCATTTTTAAGTCACCTATATTTTTAGCAATTTTTTGTTTGCTAAGGTTAATTTCTAATTTCGCCACTTTTACGTTGTTAATACTGCGAACCCCTTCAAAGGCATCATCAAACTGGCGAAAAAAAAGATATATCTGTTAGATTTCTTGCTAATACATATATATTTAGTTTAATATCACAAGCTTGTGTCATCAGAATATTATAACAGGGTTGCAATTTCTCTGTGACCTGTAGATCCATGCCATCCCATTTTTTTTCATTCGAATTTCAAAACTTGCAAGACTAAAGCCAGAGCGACCTCATGCGTCCCCAGGTGTTGAACTCCCGGTACTAACAGAC